GTGAACAACCCCTGAAGAGGCCCACACAGGACAGAAGCAACCTGCCAGCGCAGAAGTGGGGAACGGGCGATGACAGGAAATACGACGGCCGCCTACAGCGACGTCATGAATTAATAAAAAAGAAAAAGGATAAAGCCTCCGCCGTTGATCAACCCCTTTGAGGGATGCGACACGCATTCTACTTCCATTCAGAATCGCAGGGGCTTATTGAATGCGATGTGGCCTATACAATGACTTGCGATGGCCAGCCGATGCACAAGTCAGTGTTTATCCTCCCCGACGAAGCTGGTGTCAATTTATCGTCCCCGGAGGGTAGAAGGCTTGGCTGGCCTGAGGGAAAGTCGACCCGGGATTTGAATCCGGCACCGCGCGAAGTGGTAAGCGCCGCCCCAACTTTCACTACACCACCTCCGCCGCCAATAATATCGCCAGAAGTAATAACGATGGAAAAATACACTTCCGGACATTTCTGTCTCGGGAGCACATCTACTTGTACCTAGGAAGCCCTTCCTAGAAGTTGCACCTTCCCAATAGCTCTGCGTGAAAGCGCTATGCACGGCGCAATACAGAGGTGATGCCAATTAGCGCCTAGTAAACTATTTCCTGACATCCTTGGCGAAAAGATGCGTTTTAGAAGCATACAAAGTCTTTAAAGCCACACTGAGGTTTTATAGCGTCGGAGGGAAAATTTCGGTCTACGGCAGATCACAGCTTGATCACAACGGGGATTTTTTTCGATAGCAGGCTTAGGATAAAGTCGAAAGCCTGCAGGAAAGAAGAAAGCTTTCCTTCTGCACTTTTTTCTGTTCACAAATGCCCTTGAGTGAAGTTGTTATGTGTTTGAAGCCATAAAACTTGTGGATGACATGATGGCATCACGCTTGGATCACAACGGAGAAAATTTCTCGAAAAGGGATGTTTTTGAAATCGCTCAATTCAGGTAATAAGAGCCAATTTGCCCCCATTCCTGCTTTCCCCTGTCTAAAAGCTCTACTCTCGAAGAAGTTATGGATGTTCAAGCGAGGGGTACTTTTCGAGTGTTTGGCTTGAAATTGGATCCAGGTCGTAAAATAGCGCGCTCCAAAACATTTGTACAGAAGCGCGCTCGCGTCAGAAGACCGCTAACGACTTAATATTCAAAAGCCAATCCATAGTTCTGGTTTCTGATACTCCTGGTGAGTTTTTTGTCGTTTGTTTGGTAGTGTGTTTTAGGTTTATTTATTTACGAAAATTATTTATTTATTTATTTATTTATTTATTTATGCGTGATTACAACGCGCTCAAACAAAACAAAGTAGCAAAGCGGAGTGAGCAATTTCAGAACCAAACAATAAACAAAAATCAATAAACAAAAATAAAATCCAAAACAAGATCCGTATAAAAAAATTCATGTGCAGTAAAATTACAGGCAGTTGCACTGAGAGGTCGTAAAGAATCAACCGAAGCAGCTCTTAGTTGCTCAAAAGGATGGAGTTGCATAATTAACTAGGCGGAAGGAAGGATCAAGAGAAAATTGCAAATGCCTCAGACCACAAAGAACGAATGAAAACGGTATCGTAGCATATAGAGCTTGCTCAACAAGATACTTAAACAGACGAAGCTACTGTCCGCACCACTGTTTCACATGCCCCTTAGCGCCACATGAGGGGTCATGGGGTACGCCGGCACTTCGAGACACGGGTATACCAGCAGCCCACGTGGAACCGGCATACTGGACACAAGCCACATAACAGGGTTACTAGACCGGAGCCTTGATCAGAGCCGACATTGCAAGAAGATGAACTCCATGGATGAAGAGGGGGTATGAGCAGAGAGAACTGAATAAACTCCTAATCTTGATCAACCAAGGGAAAACAGAAGAAGGAAGTCTCAGGGCAACTGATGAAGGAAAAAAAACTATCACTATGATATCTGACGAAATCCCACAACGAATAAAGGTGCTAGGAAAATAGAGCTGCTAAAATTCTAACAGACTAAGCGTCCAACAGAGAATCGAGAAGAATGAATACGTGATAATACATGATGCTAAACGCTAGATAGCTCTATGTGGAACCGTTAACAGCCAGTCAAATCAGCATCAAGTTCCAGCTGCGGCTTATAGGCACCAGCGAAGGGAGTCTCCAGTGACGCGCACAACAACTGACACGGAAGGGAGGAACATTACTGAAAAAGAGCCGTACACCTATTTCATGGGAAACATTCAGAATTTACCAAGATCACCTTGTTTAATCTTCTTTCAAACGAAGAACTACTGACTGATCCAAGTATTTGGGTAGCGAATTCAACCATCTAGCACATCGGTAAAATATGACACTTCACGTCGTAAAACGCACTCACAGCCAACCGCGAGGTATCAGGTTAAACCCACTCGCCTACCTCCAACTGGTCTGAAGAGCCAGTACTTACTGCAGCGGAGTTTAGATTCCCTCCGAAGGACACGAAAGCAGAAGACTAAATCAGCAACCACCCGCCTAAACTGTAAAGATTTCATTGAAAACACACTTAGGCGCTCTCAAACTGGCAATCACTGCGGACCAGTCTTACGCGAATGCGGTACCAAAGGAGGCGGGTAAACACACGCTGAACCCTTTCAATTTTACTGATATACTTCTTAATAAAAGGGCTCCAGATCTGTGAGCAGTATTCGAGATGAGGCAGTACATAGGCCTTATATAGACGAGTGAGCACTGCCGCATCCGAAGATTGCACATTACGGAAAAGCGCGAATAAGGGTGAAAGCTTCTCAACGCTTGTTTATGTGAGAGTAGAAGTTCAGCGTTGAGTCAAAAAGGACACCAAGATCCGTAGCAGACTGACACATTGTAAGCTTAATGTCGTTGATGTAAAAATCAGCCGGACCAAGATTCCCAATGTGCATAACCGAACACTTATTCAGGTTGAGTGGGATATCCCAATGAGAAGCCCATTCAACCATTCTATGAATAGAAAGTTTCAAAGCACCGCGTACAGCTGTATAGTTGGTTCGATCAAGAACTCCATAGAGTTTTATATCATCCGCACATTTGAACTGTAATGTCAGGGGCAAGTAAAGAAATTAGTAGCCTCCTAGGTAGATTACAGACAATACGGGATAACACACCACCCTGTGGGACCCCGCTCCCACAAAGGTACCTCTTGGAGAAACTAGTCTTGATTCTAACAGTCATGTGCCTATCATAAAGATATGAAGTTAGCCAAGCTAAGAGTTTCCCTCGAATTCCCACTTGTTCCAATTTGGCCAGTAGTTTGTGGTGGCAAACCTTGTCGAACGCCTTTGAAAGGTCAATATAGACAACGTCAATCGATTTGCCTTCATTAAGTGCCTTACAAAAGTCAAACAAAGTATCTGCAAGATTAGTACAGGTACTAGCCTAATTGAACCGAGTGTTCTTGAGTATTAAACGGTATCTTGTGAGCCAGCCCAACAACCTTTCATTTATATTCTCCATGCACTTAACAGAGTGGGAAGGCTGATTGGCGAAGTATCCTCAGTGTAGACAACCTGGCAGGGACTTCTAATAGGAGTGCATAATCAACATCTTCCAAACTGAGGCGACATCTTGTGTTAGTAAGGAGAAGAAACATGAACCAACGTTACAACAGAGGAATAGTAACATTTACTTATAACACTATTTGTGGATCATCGTAGGTTCACTATTTGAGGATGGAGCTTTTTATCATATGGAAAAACCGTAAGATCAAAGAAAACCTCTCAACTATCATTAACATGTGAAGCACGCGAGGTTCCATTCATGAGAGAAATTAGACGTGAAAATACTAGAGAAATGGTTAGCGAGTGCCTCTGCTTTGTCCGCGTCACTACGGTAAACCCTACCCGTGTGGTCAGATAGTGTGGGGAGTAACTGGTTTGACTTCAGCTTGCGCCGAAAGTAATGGAAAAGCCGTTGTAAGGAAACATGCGATCCAAGCCTGCGCTCATAGTTAGCGAGGAACTTTCTCAAATGGTGATCTAAATCAGAACAAACTTTTCTATAAGGTGCGCTTCCGAGAGGAGAGCGAACTTTCTCAAATGGTGATCTAAATCAGAACAACTTTTCTAAAGTCCTTCCTGAGAGGAGAGCTTAACCAGAGAAGACGTTGTTTTTTTCTGGAGTAAGTTAGTAATATTACGAATACTTAGACAGATCCACTACACGATCTTGAATGAACCTTTAGCAAGCCCGCTGTAAACCACCCCACAGAATCGCTGGTATATGTCATCCATCGAGGAATACTGATCAAAAAGTGCCCACCAATCCACGCCTAAGAGGAAGTTGTTGAGGGCAGCAAAGTCAGTGCTCAAGAAATCTGGCCTAGGAACATGGCAATGGGAACTAGACTCTTCAAGAAGATCGAAGAAAACAACGTTATGATCTGACGTAGCTAGCGGAGGTAGTACTGAAACATTCGAGATATTATGTGATGTGGAAAGTATGAGGTCAAGGACCTTTCCATTATGGGTGGGTTGCATAACATGCTGTTCTGAGCAGACACACGAAGAATTCCATAGCAGCAGCAGCAGAATTCAGAGCTCTCGAACTACTCCAGTCAACTTGGAGATTGAGATCTCCAAGGACCACAGTGCTCGAGCGCACTGCCACAAGATCACCGAGCACTTCAATCAGGGCATCATCATCAGCTTTGGTCGAATTCGGAGGGCGGTATATCGTAATGATGCGGACATAGTAGACCTCGTCAGCATCGACTCGCCCCCGAAAAAATCAGATCCACGCAGAGTCCGTCGGCCTTTCCAGCTTTATGTGAGTCACAAATTCTACATGGCAGTTCCCTTTAACGAGGCAACAAACGCCCCCACCCCTACCCCGAGACCTGTCAAGGCGATGGAGAAAGTAAGGAAGGGAGCCAACTATCTCGGCATCAAGAATGCTGCCTTTCAGCCAGGTTTCGGTGACACACAGTATATCAGGCTTGAAGTGAGAAACAAAAGAGTGAAACTGAATTAGTTTATTAACTAAACTCCGAGCGTAAGTAAACAGCATCCATACTGGAACATGCGGGTTATAGGTTTCCCATGTCGTACGGGTAAACTGGAACCATTATTGCCTCCTTATAGACAACCATTTCCTTGACGCCTCCCTTTGTTGCGCTCCGGGGCAATTTCCTGAGCTAACTCACGCACCTTCCCTCATGGTGTCATACTTTTACGTATGAAAAACCTGATGGAAGCCAGTGTCCCGGAGTAGGCGGGCATTCGCAAGCACTGTGCGCCAATGTGAAGTGGAGGGAAGTACAACTTTTACCAGCCGAGGACGGTTATCCCCGTTGCCATTCGATAGACTTCGGAGGGACGGCACTCCACTTTGAGAATGTCCAGAATCCCAGCAACCTTACCCTCGAGGTCCTTCTGGCAGTCCGATGCGCGAAGCCATATACGACAATGCTGCGGGCACGTTTCTCGCTTTCAATAGACTCAGTGAAGTCCTTTGGGATTTTCTCGGACAATGCACTGAGCAGGGGGCTGATGAGGGGGTCCTTATTGCGGTCAATAATGATTCTAAGGAGATCCGCAGCGGATAGTTTCTCATATCGAGAGCTCCCCCTTGGCTACTGTTTGCCTCCTGGGAACTCTCGATATTCGCCCCCAACGATTTAGGATCACTGGGACCATTCTTTTTTGCAGCCGTACGTTGACTTCTGCCCACCATAATTATTTGATCTACCAGTAATCGAATAAATAAGGAGCAACGTAAGCACTGAAATCAAAGAAATGAGTAAACGAAAAAAATAGAAACCCAAATGAAAAAAACAACGGGTAAATTGAACAGAAAGATAGCGAAAACAAAGATATAAAAGAATAGAATTCAAGAGACAAATGCTGAAATGAATATAAAATAAACTAGAGCGAAAGGAGCGAAAAAAAAACGACCGCCACGTAGCCAGATATCAGATGATTTTTTTGTATTTGTTGTTTCCTAGTAGTTTCCTAGCTTGCATTATTTTTTTGGTTTGTTTTTTATTCACTATCGAACTATTCCTACCCCAGTCTGCCGAAATCAGCCGATTTTTTATTGATTTTTTTCTAGAGGGGCAGATTTGGATGGAAATTTGGTTACAGTGGTACTTCGACCTCCTGAACACGAATATCACATCCGCTCTGCCCGAAACTTTTCATCGATTTTGGTGATTTAGGGTATTTTGGCGCCGCGCCACAGGCGCCGGGGCCAAAATACCCTGAATCACCAAAATCGATGAAAACTTGTATACGGGGGTTATTTGACATCCTGACTACGAATATGACATTTATTCTTGGCGCCGGCGTTAACGTAGGACGCTATGGTGCCACCAGCGCTTTGCTAACAAAGGAGGTCGTTCAGGGCGTGCCCCGCTTTTTCGAAGTGGTTCTTTGCACTTTGTAGGGCCTTGCCCATGAACCATAAAAGTGGGCTTCATTTTCGCTGAGCGGCCCCTGGAATGCCAAAAAAGGAGCGAAAAAGAAATCTATGGAAACTTATTTTTGAGCCTCTACGGGCTGTAAACCGCTTGAAACTTTGACCAGTTGCTGAGTGGAGGGTAAGGTACTATCGGAATCGAAGAGAAAAGTAGTCGGGGTATGGGGTCTTACTTGTGGCACGTAATCAAGAGTGAGCGGCTACTTGGAATGGTTTTTTCAACGATCGGATCAGCTTCAGTGATCGGGTGGTCCAATGGATAGCGTGGAGGATTCTCAAGCGGACAGTGGAGGTGGGGTTGATGGTTCGACTCCCCTCGGCGTGCGAGTTTTTGCATTTTTCATGTTTTGCTGTTTTCGCGTTCAAATATGTCTGTGCGTGAGTATGCGTTCGATAACTGCCATTTATGGGCACATTTTAAATGGGATACTCCATGAATCAGTGCTATTCAATTATTACAGGTTTTACATACCATTAAGCAAGACCGTAATTGAAAGTTGACCTTTATAGGTCAGACCATGCCCGAATCACGAATATGGAACTCATTTGTAGCTATGATGCCATTTATCGCTTAAAGAGCCACAAGTTTCTTCTGATGACTGCGTTAGGTACACACAAATAAGGGACGTGTAGAGCTAACCAGGCGCCAAATTATGTCGGCGCCAGATAAGTGTCAAAGTCCTCATCGTGGCCACTGATTACCCTGTAGACATTTCGACCAAAAAAATTTTCGGTTTTTTTGGGTCCATGCGTTGTGCCCGACAGTCTTTCTATAGAAGTCTACAGTGCCTCGCCATAGGGACCCCCTATTTTATTAATATCCAAGCATAAAACTAACAATGTCGATGAAATTCATGCAAAGAGGAGGGAAAGGGAAGTATTCGTCCAGGTTGGCTTGAAAAAAAGTTGAGGAACTGAATGAGTGCAATTTCTGTTTCGGTAGGGAGATTGACATCTGTTATTGAGCGAGCAGGCGGCAGGAATTGGCAAAGGCCCAGGATGCTTTTTCACGAATGCCGACCACCCACACTGATGCCAAGCATGAAAGGACCTTGGGCGCGCTCTTGCGACACGGCTGTCCTGCCCGGCGGCCTGCTACGTCGTCGTTCCATCATCGTCTTTACGAAGATGTGATACTCCGGTCACCACTGCCGACCAAATGGTCCACCACAACTCGAGAAAAAATCGAAAAAAAATTTGTCTGAAAGTTCTTCTAAAGGGGTAATAGATAGTCGGCAACGATTTTGACACTTATTTTCGACGTCGACGCAATTTGGGGCCACTATAGAGCTTAACATCCCTCAATGGGGGTACATAGACGCACTTTTCGCTCCCTTTTCGGCGTTCCTGAGGCCGCTCGGCGAAAATAACCACACTTCTATGATCTATGTTCAAGCCCCTACAAAATGCAAAAAACCATTTTGAAAAAGGGGGGCACGCTCTGAACGACCTTCCTCGTAAGACTGAGCCTGGCCCGAGGGAAATCTTCCCTTTTTCCCAGTTTCAGTCTCAGCAGAGCACTAAACAGTTTTGGTATAGAGGAATGGTTCATACCGGTGATCAGGACATCGAACTACATCTATAGATAGAGTTCCAGCATAAATTTTTTTGGGTTTTTTTGGGTCTGCTCTCTTTATTGTCATTTTCTTCGTCCTTTTTGCGCTCCTTTTTAGTTGTACCCTCGTGACAGGGGGGTCGTATTAAGACCCTTACTGGGGGGGGGGTCGTATTTAGCTGGATCCGACCAATATTCTGATTAGTTATTGATCGATGCGAGGCGAAGTGTGTGTGCAATACCCATCTTACCCACTTAGGCCGCGTTCATAGCTTGCGTTGGTGAAGAAATGCAGAAATGCGGAAAGTGCAGAAGTGCGGAATCTGCAGAAAAGCAATAGATACTTATCGACTTGAAGAAAAGTGTACTTATCGACTTGAAGAAATGCAGAAATGCCGAAACTGCAGAAGTGCGGAAAGTGCAGAAATGACGAAAAGCATTACATACGTATCGATTTGAAGAAATGCAGAAATGCCGAAAGTGCGGAATGTGCAGAAAAGCAACCGATACGTATCGATTTTCCGCACTTTCGGCATTTCTGCAGATTCCGCACTTCTTCACTTTCGGCATTTCTGCATTTCTTCAAGTCGATAAGTATCTATTGCTTTTCTGCAGATTCCGCACTTCTGCACTTTTGGCATTTCTGCATTTTCCGCATTTCTGCATTTCTTCGAGTCGATAATCTATCGCTTTTCTGCAGATTCCGCACTTCTGCATTTCCTCACGAACGCAAGCTGTACGCGGCCTTAGTGATGCTGTCCTCTGAGATTCACGATCCTCTACGCAGCAAATTATACTTTGAACCTAATCCTCGGCAGCCTGCGCCTACATGAAATTCTAACTCTATTCTGGTGCCATTTTGCTTAACTTTTCCCGGATTCTGAAGTAATGTCCAACAAATTCTCAGCTTTTCTGTGGCCCACTCCGCGCACGGGCGTCCTCCTCATCTTGTTCGCTTAGCAGTCGCTGATCAATGTCCATTTTTTCCCGTCTCTTGGCTGCACTGCAACGATATCTGAATTTCTTCTTGTTGCCATTTTCCTAAATTTCGCTAGTGGTGTCATGTTCTTTTCTTGCATCTGACACCTGGCTGAACCTAACTAACATTTTCCCGATTCCTGAACTACTCTGGAATCGAACGACTGCCTTCATAAGTGAATACTTTATACTTTAGGAAACACTCCGCTCACTGTGGCGGTTCACAGCAAACCAGAACTCTGCCAGATCTTGCTCAATCTTTTCTCTATTGCCTTATCGGATTCTGAAGCAAGCACCGCAAATTTCGTTTGTCCCCTCATATCATCCGTCTGATGATCTTTGGAATCATCATTGTTGGCCTTCACCCCTTTCTTCCTGCTCTGTGCTGCTCTTCAACCGAATCATTAGTTTTGGTCGTTGACACCGCTGTTCTCCTTAGCATGCCTCACCCCTTTCTGGCGGAGTGGGATGCGAACTTGGCGCTTGACCACCACTAGCGCACCTGACGCAGTCTCTCAAAATGACTATTCAGGTAAAACCAAATTTTCTTACAGACAGACAGACAAACAAACAAACGACAGACAGACAAACAAACAATGTAAGGATAGTTGCCGTTTTTCACATGTAATATGCTACCACAATTATGAATACTTTGGATGTTCAAGTTTATGTTCAATGACATTGAGGAAGAGGTCGTTACTACAGTAAATCGCTATCGTATAACTAATCCACAGCCTTCAGTTCCTGATGAGGCTCCGAGACAGGACAAAGCTGTGAAAAACTACGATTTTGATAATATGTTCTCGCCCAGTATTTGAATAGAAGATATACATACAGAAGATCCCTAGTGCTAGTCCATTTCAGACCGTTTGACGTACGAATGAATGCCATGAGAGAAACCCTTTTGGGGAAAACTTGCGGTGAATCCCATCTCTACATGTTACAGTTCTTCGAAATGTTCATGAATGCGTATTTAGGTGAGTTCATCATGCATATGTTTCATCTAAATATTGAGATCAAGGACGTCTGCGGTAAAGGCTCGAGAAAGTTGGGGGTCAAACGAAAGGTTCACGGTAATAATCTGAATGTAGGTGGATACAATGCTCCTACAAACCCACATTTAGCCAACCAACCACTAAATTAGGAAGGTGGTGGTGAGCAAGCCGAACTGACGGTGAAATGAGCTGTGCCTATTACTGAACTAAGGAGATTGTACACACTGCTGTGACAAGCACGTATGCAATTTGCAATTCTATCTGGAACTGTGAACGCCGAAAAGGGAGCGAAAAGTGCGTCTGTGTACCCCCATTTGAGGGATGTTAAGCGCTATACTGGCCCCAAATTGCGTCGACGTCGAAAATAAGTGTCAAAATCGTTATCCGACTATCTATTACCCCTTTAGACGAACTTTCAGACAAAAATTTTTTCGATTTTTTCGGGTTGTTGGTGGACCATTTGGTCGGCAGTGGTGACCGGAGTATCACATCTTCGTAAAGACGATGATGGAACGACGACGTAGCAGGCCGCCGGGCAGGACAGCCGTGTCGCAAGAGCGCGCCCAAGGTCCTTCCATGCTTGGCATAGTGTGGGTGGTCGGCATTCGTGAAAAAGCATCCTGCGCCTTTGCCAATTCCTGTCGCCTGCTCGCTCAATACAGATGTCAATCTCCCTACCGAAACAGAAATTGCACTCATTCAGGTTCCTCAACTTTTTTTCAAGCCAACCTGGACGAATACTTCCCTTTCCTTCCTCTTTGCATGAATTTCATCGATATTGTTAGTTTTATGCTTTGGATATTAATAAAATAGGGGGTCCCTATGGCGAGGCACTGTAGACTTCTATAGAAAGACTGTCAGGCACGACGCACAGACCTAAAAAAATAGAAAAAAAATTTTTTTGGCCGAAAGGTCTACAGGGGTAATCAGTGGCCCCGATCACGATTTGGGCACTTATCCGGCGCCGACGTAATTTGGCGCCTGGTTAGCTCTACACGTCCCTTATATGTGTGTACCTAACGCATCATTGAAAGAAACATGTGGCTCCATATTAGCGATAAATGGCACCATAGCTACAAGTGAGTTCCATTCGTGATTCGGGCATGGTCTGACCTATAAAGATCAATTTTCAACTACGGTCTTGCTTAATGGTATGTAAAACTGAAACAATTGGAATAGCACCGATTCATGGAGTATCCCATTTAAAATGTGCCCATAAATGGCAGTTATCGAACTTATACTCACGCACAGACATATTTGAACGCGAAAACAGCAAACATGAAAAATGCAAAAACTCGCACGCCGAGGGGAGTCGAACCATCAACCCCACCCCATCTTCCGCTTGAGAATCCTCCACGCTATCCACTAGGCCATCCGATCGTTGTTGCTGATCACTGCTCCGATCGTTGAAGAAACCATTCCAAGGAGCCGTTCACTCTTGATCACGTGCCACAAGTAAGACCCCATACCCCGACTATTTTTCTCTTCGATTCCGATAGTACCTTTATAGGGTCCCTCCATTCAGCAACTGGTCAAAGTTTCAAGCGGTTTACAGCTCGTAGAGGCTCAAAAACAATCAGTTTCCATTTTTTTTCGCTCCTTTTTTGGCATTCCAGGGGCCGCTCAGCCAAAACGAAGCCCACTTTTATGGTTCATGGGCAAGGCCCTACAAAGTGCAAAGAACCATTTCGAAAAAGCGGGGCACGCCCTGAACGACCTCCCTTGTAAGACCTGTGAAGAAGCTGTTAGGGCATCGAAATGTTAGGAAAATGCATGGCGAACACTAGGAGGGAGACCCCGGAGTCAGTGAGCTATTCAGTATGCTACCTGAACGGGAGAGAGTGATGAACCAGGGAGCTGAGTCACTCAATGAGGATGAGTTCAAGTTGTGTGTTGACCCGAAACTGGGATGACTCAAAACTAGGACTTCCTCTTGGAGCGTAGCTGATGATATCCAGGTCGCGGAATCGCGCACAAAACAGCTAGCGATTCTAGCTTGCTGGCTCAGCACCCACGTGAGGTTCACATTAGACGTCAAATTTTTATGACCTCAGGAACCATTTTCCGCCTAGGTTTTATCTCAAAAATTCAGAGGCGGATAATGTGTTTTCCTTTGCATCATTTTCATGAGGGCTACTGAATAAATGGGTGCCGTTCTTTAATTAGAACTGGTAAATAAAGGAAGTGGTCAGACAGTGATCCTCAGCTCTCGAAAGAAAATAGTTTGTCGATTGCCAGGTTCGTAGGTGTAGGCGGTGCTCCTCCCAACACAATAAAATCCGAAAAAAAATTCTGTCAAATGAATTTTTACTCTTCTTTCGTCCCCGACCGATATTCAGTGTAATTCTACTTTTAAGGTACACCAAAAATGGCTGTGGTTTGGGTCACTGGATTGACCCATGATGGGGTAACGGAGCTCTACCACACGGATGATCAGTTTCTGAACTTCTTTACTAGAAATAAAAAGAATTTCGACAACTCATTACTCATTTTTACGGCAGATCATGGACCTCGCTATTCTGGCGTGAGTCTGCTGTCTTTGTTCAGTTAACTTGAACCAAATGACAAATTGGCGTCTTCATAAAACCATTACTTGTCATTCTTGCATTCCTGCTTTGCTTGTTCGCTTCTTCGCTTTACTAACCTATTCTTTTCTCCATCAATTAATTCTGCGTATTCACCACATCACTTCAGGCGTATTCAGCACAGTAATCGACCACTTCCAGATCGAAGCTGTTCGTCTTGGGCGATATGAAAACCGGAATCCTTTACTACTGGTAGCCCTTCCAAGAGTGATGCGGAACACCGAAGTACATGAGGAACTTCGAGCCAAAACGATGGAGCTTATGACCCATTTCGATATCCACGCAACATTGGTTGACTTCCTGCATGTGATTTTGATTCAGTTCCACGCTAGATAACACTAATTTCATGTCTTATCACCGCTTTTGTACCACATATTGATCGCTAAGTAACTGATGACATTATAGTACCAGCCAAAGGCGAATTTCTCTGACGCAACCGAGCGCAAGATGCTTCCACATAGCAAAGGATCCTCGTTGCTGCGAAAGTGGAAAGGTCCAAGGAACTGTCAAACGCTTCCGATTCCATTCGAATACTGCATTTGCCAGTATGAAAAGAAGAATGTGACGTAAGCTGTCAGAAACATGATCGTTACAATCGTCCTTCTTCCGTGTTCTAGTAGGGAATGTCTGCTTACCGAGAATGATTATTACAACAGAATTATTTGGAACTGTTTACAACTTTTTTCTGCTTGAATTCTAAAAGGTGCATGGGTTGGAACACAAATGTAAACAAGTGACATAATGTCACGTATCTTTGGGGAAGTACGTCTCGGTCGCTATCTTTTACAGCAGTTGAAGTACAGACTTTTTGGAGAGTGAGTAGTTTTTCAGCTTAGAAAAAAGAATATCATAACAACGTTCGCGACAGCGTCTCTTTATTTTAAATTCCAACTCACTCTAAGTGCAGCACAGAAGGCTCGATCTAGGAATGAAGTATGGGGTAGGGTAGGTGAGTTTGTGCACGAGTCACTGTTGACTTCAATAATTTCCTCATGACAAAGTTATGCTCTAAGATGAGGAACGTGGCAGACGTTCTTCTGCTATATACGACGCTTTTACGGGTGGGGGGAGGAAGATTCATGCACAAATGCAAAAGCACTTGCTGGGGATCTCGGTGCAAGCATTTCGACTGTTTCGGAGCACTTTTGAGTGAGGAGTAGAAAAGCTCGAAAATGGGTACCACGCCAATTGGGCGAGCAGAGCACGAGCAGTCGGCGGCATAAGCTAGCACAGACACCAACTCTCAGCAACAGGAATGACCCTTTTCAGGAACCTCTCGTGACCTGCCATGAAAAGTGGCTTTTGCGTCAACCAGGAAGTTTTATCTCAGTGGTTGGATTCGCAAGAAGGTTTGGCAAGGCTCTTCAGACCGAAAATGCACCGAAACGTGTTCACTGCTTGGTGATCTGTGACTTGTTCTATTCACTATCGGATCGTGTGCCTTCGGCGAGCGATCCTTCTCGGGCGTGTGAAGTAGGTAACGCCCCCCCCCCTCTCCCCTGGTGGACAGTTTTTTTTTGTAAGGGCAAGAAGTGGGAAGTCGGTACTGGATGTCTGATGAATGAGCTGAAGTGGAAATATGAGTGTATTTGAGTTATTGTAGAATAAATAACAGGTAAATAAACAAATCAGTAAATACAAGAAAGTTACAAATTTTTGATATTGACCCCCGCACAACCATTCCATTCTCTGTTGACTGCTATTTCCATGGGGCTTGAGACGATACTATGAACTTTTGCAGCATTCACCACCGATTCGGGCACGCTTACTCACTGGTTTTCCCCTTACTCCATATGGCTTCATGCTCTCGTCCTTCACACATTATTAGCCACTCGGGCTGCTCAGGATGCGTTTTGAAAATTGATCCTTGGCACACTTCACTCCTGCGCACACCCCGCCCATTGTAGGCAGAGCCTAGGTTACCTTGTATGTGCTCTGTAAATGTTGGCCCATGCCACATCCATCCCAAGCTTGATCCGTTCCCTAAAAGTGATTTTCCACATAGTCCCCAATTTTTGAGCGGTCATACAGACAGACATACAGGAGGCAGGAATAGCTGAATGATTAAGAGTGTGGACTCATGTCCGCACCCTGGGCCACGAGTTCAGTCCCTGGGTAAACCATGCCTTCCAAAAATTGGAAAAATGCCGATACCAGCGTCAGGCTCAGGTTGACAGGTCGGCTGATATAGGATTTCGTAACAACATTATGAAAGATCGCAAAGATGTCAGTATTAACGCTGGGACGTCACCTGAACAGAATCCTCGCCCGAGTGCTGTGGTCAGTATGCGAGGGCTACCGAGGGGTGAACGACCTCGGCCAAAGAAGCTAGTTCGAATAGGGACCCTGAACGTGGGGTCGCTTACCGGGAAGTCTCGAGAGGTTGTCGCCCTTATGAGTCGCAGGAATATCAATTACAGGAAACGCGGTGGCAGAAAGGAAAGGCTCATGAGACTGGGGAAGGGCTCAAGCTCTTTGACGACGGAGGAGGCACCATACAGAATGGTGTGCCAATAGCGATGGCAGAATCCCTCAAGGTCTGTCTCCGTAAACAGTGATTACCAGGCTCTAGTTCCGCTCATTGCATAGAGAATATGTGTTATGAAAGCGCTTCAAATTTTCTTAACGAGTTCTCTCGCTATGGCACAACAAACGAGTTTTTGGGTGGCTTAGAATTACGCCCATCGTTAAGCCATGTTGTTGTTTTAAGCCAACTAGGTTTTTAGAAATGTGCAAGGTTCTGGAAACAGGAATTATTGCGCTTTGTGAAGCCGTTTTTATTTCACTGGAGATCGTGAGATTGATAGGAAAGAAGTTTTATTTCTTTACCAGTCGGATCGCCCAGCTGTCGCCGGGCGCTCCTCCTTCTGTGACATGGCCCGGCTTCGCCGGGGGCGCGGATTTGCTGCGTGCTAAGTTACGGATCGTTGACCAACCACACTGTTCAAAGGAATGTTCTGCATCAGCCAAGAACTGAAAAGCAGCGCCCGTTTTGTCAAGACGCAGAAGCAGCAGCAGCGCCCGCCGCATAAGGAGGAGCGCCGGCGTTAGCGAGCGATCCGACTGGTACGTTCATAACCTACATAGACGGGAATAGAGCAGCCTGTTAGATCAGCCGCTGAAGCATCGTACTGATTCATGCATTCCCCCCTCTTAAAGCGTCTTGCTTTGGAATGCACTCCCGCATTCAGCAGTGGAACGCTTTAAATGGCCCTCACTAAGGTTGTTGATGGAAGATAATTGTGGTAAGAGTGATAAAGTCAGTTGCTGTTCATAACATCTCTGTAAACAAACCACATGCATTTGGAATAGAGCTAGCTTAGCGGTCGTACATGATGTCGTTACTAATAAGCAGTGAGGAATGAGTTCTGTTGGAATCATTGAGATCGTTATACTTGAGTCATATCGATCGCATTGTTGTTGTGAGCGGTGAAGCGGATTTTCCCATGTTACTTGTCACTTTCAGCTCCTATAACATCCGTCACCCGCCAATAATATTCCCGTCCCATATCACTATCATATCACCCTAAATCACTTCTCGAAATCACGCTCCCACCGTTGCTGTAACCTGCGTTACGTAATTTGGTGATCATCCTCTTCCGAGACCCCTTATCGGATCTTATCAACTGTTATCACTTTCTGTCACCCGCCAATAATGTTCCCGTCCCACACCCTATATCACCTCTCGGATCCAAGGTCCCACTGTTGCCGTAACCTGCGTTACGAATTTGGTGATCCTCCCCTTCCGAGACCCCTTATCGGATCTTATCAACTGTTATCACTTCCTGTCACCCACCAATAGTGTTCCCGTCACACCCCTACATCACTTCTTGGAACCAATGTCTCACTGCTACTGGGACCGGCGCTATGAATTTCGTGACAAAGACAGACGGACACACACACACACACGCACGGACATAGCGGATTATATGTAGTAGGATGAGGGTGTCCACAATCAAAACAACATCGTATGGCCTTTTTTATTATGGATCAATTTGCAATTTTTCTAGCGGTTGTTTTCTTATCTGTTGTTGTCTGCGTGCTTCCACTCGAGCGTGCGCTACGCACCCCCTCACCGGACCCCTTCCCTTGCACATGCTCAGGTCCGGCTGAGCACGTGCAGGGGAAGGAAGCAGAGGGGAGGGGTCACTCGGTGCCCCCCCCCCTCGGCTTCACCCACCCTGCCCCCGCGTGCAATGGCTCGGAGTGTACCGAATGGTTGTCTTATATATGCTGTTATCACAATCAAAACATTGGATTGATACATCTGCACCGATGGGTTCCCGGTTTGGCTAGCGGTCGTTTTCTTCTTTCACTAACCTGTTTAATCCTGTGAAGCACTTTGCGGACGGACAGACATACAAACCGACATACATACAGTCGTCATCCTTGCACTTGATAGTCAATGTCAGTGCGGCTGCGTGCGGCGCGGTCGCCCGCACCCGTACTGCACCAATCGTTGAACCAGGAAGTGACATTACTGTATTATATCCTTCGTGTTACTCGTTTTCTATCACTTTTTGTCGCATACGCGTTTCAACGAAAAGGCTGAGAAGGCTTCAAACAGTGTGCACGCTCCTTCTCGCCGACACGCCCCTATCAAGTGCAAGGATGACGACTGTACATACCGACAAACCGACACACAAAGTTTCTGCTTTATAGAATGTAAGGATTTATTTATTCATTTTACACTGTAACAGTGAGCCCAAAAATTATTAAAACAATGCTCAAATACTCGTTTGAGCTATTCTCGTCCGAAGCTCGAAAACTTGCGTTTTGCCACTAATCCACAAAACCCAGCCAAAATATTTCTCAACTAGAGAAAGTTTCAGCAACGGGTAGTAAGAAGACGTAACGGTAGAGACATTGCTTCAACATGCCACCTTCCGCTTCTCGAAGTCCCACACCTAAAAAAGTCATGACTCCCAGAAGAAGCCCGCGATTTTCATCATGTCATCATCCGTGTGTGCTCCAGCGCCACTTGGCGCTGCGATCTCAACGTAGCCGCAAGCTCTTGCAAATCTTTACGTATATAATCCTCATCGTCACAGCGAGCAACTATAGCCGAAGGGTTGTACCGGGGTCGTTTTCGGTCGTAGTGACACCGCCATTTCACATATGCTGTCCCTTGGTTCACAAGGGCAAAGTATGGTCAGGGGGCGCGCCGCAATGGTTAAGCACAGTGGCGAAAAAGATCCGTAACTTCTCTCCCAGGAGCGTTTAGCAGGTTTTAAAGCAGATTTGATATCTGCAACCGACGACGTTCATACCAGTATACACTTCATCCTGAATGGCCATGACAAGTTAGTATCCTTCCGTTGTGAGAAAGGCAACAGGGTATACGTTCCGTTTCTTCACTAATTCATGACGGCGTTGTGGGCGGCTATCGCTTATCACCGCCTACTTTTGAGCTTGTGACTTGCACCTTTCTTCAGATGTGTTTCGCAATGCTCTTCACAGCAAAAAAAAGTTCCTATCATTCAGTGACTGTACAAGATCTGAATGTCGTTGCTTTCGCGAATGAGCCGTGCGCTTGTGACCCTCCTCGCTGTCAAACACGCTTCCCGTAG